TGAGAGATGAATGGAACATTTAAAAACAAAATACAATCCCGGACTGTTGAGGGCTGGATGGCAGCCCAAAGTGCCATAAGACGTCCTTGTTCACTGACAGACTAGGTTTTCAATAACACAATTCCAATACCGTCCTCCATCAAGCCCAGTTGCATGCATGACTTGACCACTAAGGCCCAGGACACCAGACCACAATGAAGACTTTTACAGATGCTGCCATGTGAGGTCTCAATATCTAAAATAATATCTAACTCAGGTCTCACCAGATTATACACATGGAGATAAATTACACAAACTGAAAAGATTGGGAGCCCCTGGCATTAACAGTACATTAACTTTACGCTCAATATCATTCACCTCATCTTGCATTAGCCACTGGCTGGATTTGCCGCTGGACCTTGAATTGGGAATTAACATTTATCTGCCTCCACTTTCTCATTCAATTATGGATGTAGTGGGAAGAACAATTGTATCTGTGATCAACGGTGACCTCTTTGCCTCCAAGAAAAGAAGTAGACCTCTCCTGCGTAGCTTCTGTGTGTGTTTAAGGCCCTTCCCTGGTTTTATTTCCCTGTTTGAAAGAGAGTTGATAAGGAGTCAGCGTAGAAGTTGATTGAAAAGATTGACATAAAGGGCATGTGAGGTTCTGGGTCTATCAGCAGCCCAGAGGCACAACGATGCCTTGCAGAATTATGGCTTTTAGAAGAAACTAGGGAAAAGACACATCAATATTCGCTGCTGGTCAGATATAAAACAGAATTCCAGATTTAATCATTTTGTTAATTTTCTTCAAAGCGAATGAACATACATAAGCAGTACAGGTTCAGCCTCAAAGTTCAAGATGTATCAGGCTTTTGTATCTTGAAATGTAAACTATTAAGGCTTTGAAATTCTGAAGGCTAATCTTGAGTGAGGATTCGGTTCAAGGCATAAGACACAGATGCTTCAGTATTCTGTCAGATTTAAACAGATCAATAATGTCCTTTAAAGCATTAGTAGCGAGTTAATTCTTTACATGTAAAAAGGGATGTAAAAGAGAATATGTGAGGTTTCTTGCTGTCATTTGTCTTCTGTAGTGTAACACAGATGCTTATTAGAAAGGACATCACTAGATATTACTGTTAATGAGGTGAATCGACTTATTTTAAATGTGAAGTCAATTTCAACATCTCTAACTTTTTTTGCTCTGAACGTCTACTTAATCGGTACATTTATAGAAAGGCTAAATTTAAATTAGATTGCACGATGGATAGTCTTGATATTGGGATTAAGGAATTCGATTTTAGTAACCATGTTATTCAGATTTTTTCTCAAATGAATTAACAAAAAAGGAAAAGGAAATATACATAAGGACTACTTCGCAAATATACATAATTTAGACCTGCAACCATTGCCATCCAAAACAAGCCATAGTCTGTGTGAAAACACTACACATTACACGCAGCATAATATGTGTTTTTCAGTTTGATTGATGTGGTTGGTGGCTGCCCTGTTTATACTGAATATTATACCTGGCTGTGCGGGCAGAGTGGGTTGACTGACTAACAGCGAGAGCTCGGTCATGATAACAGAATGTTTTTGTTCACTCATGTGTTATAAGAGCGCTTTCTGCTACTTTACCAACAAACACGCTTATCCACACCACCAAGTCCTGTTATCCATATGCTTAACAATGCGTTCAACTGAGACGCTAAACCAAGCAAATGCACACAATTGGGCAATAATAGCTACTGCAAAATATAAGGATGCAATTTAAAAAGGGCCGATTTTTTATTTTGTTGATACTTGGTCTACCAGCGATAGAAAATAATGGTAAAATGTGGTGGTTTCTTAGTAAAGATTTTTTTTTTATCAGACTAAAAGCTTTCACAAGATGGCACAAACCGGTTCATTGACTCATTGAGGTTTCTCAGATACAAAGAGAAATGTATATATAGAAAATGAAATAGTATATGGGTATAAGGCCAACCAGGTCGGTCTGCTCTAACCTAATGTGTGATTGTGTGATTCCTGACGCGTGTCTTTCAGGAAGCACTACTTTCACAATTTCACCTAAAATGGGATGGTTTTAAAGTTCTAACCCACACAGCATGCAATTGACAAGCTGCAAAACCTAAATAAAAGGAAGTGAAGCTAAGAGAAAAAGACCCTAATTACAAATGGATAACCCAGTGTTATGTAACATAAAGCTATCTATATTGGTTAGCATTGAACTGAAACTAGCGCCATGACAGTTAAAAGGGGCAACAAAACACTACTTGGCAGCTTTCAAACAAAACTGTACATTAGCCAGTTGATCACCACAATGCTGAGCAGGGCTTGCCGTGGTTTACCTATAAAATGCTGCCAAGCCCAGCATCCAAACCAAATGCCTGCACACAAAGTAGTTAGCGGACTGTGTCGTCTAACATTTGCTTTGATCAAATACCACTAAAACAATTTATAACAATAAACAATATTTAAGCCTCTGATTGTTTGCATTGGTGCTTTCAAGCGTCATATGGCTAAAGATGTGAGGGCAGAGTAACAAAAGCAGACAAAGCTGTCCGATTAAAATGTCAAAAGACTGGATGAGGCTGTTTTAAAAGCACTATGCACATTTAAATATAATAAATAAGTGATTTGATGTAGTCATCACACAGTTATCTAAACATGCATTAACATTTCTCAACCACAATTACGCCAAATTAAATGAAGGGTTTTTAACTCCTGTATAAAGATGGATATGATGGCGATGTAATTTGACATTTATTCCGATTTACAGCCTCCAAAGTCTTAGATGTTCATACTCGTTTACAACCTAATGTCTGTGAAACCAATTAAAATGTAAGGACATAAATAAAAAAGCAATAGCTTGTGTCAGTGTTGTAATATTGTAGATGATGGTATGTTTATGTGCAGTGCAAAAAGATTGCCGATTCATTTTAAATCAGTGACTGTCTTAGTCTTTGCATAATGCAGTGGTAAAATGTGACTTATGATTTGTGGTTCTAAAGCCACATTTGTTCAGCTTTAGTATAGTTGAAGCTTCAGCTGTGTTTGCCACCTTTACTCATTATTCATCTCTGAATAATCTTCACTGACATTTAGGCAAGTCTCACACTAAAGATTGTCACTGTCCTAATAGTGTAGTAAAAGAGTAAACATTATACATGCGATTTCCTGTGCATTTCCTCTCAACTTTATCTTAATGTAATTTGCCATCACTTTTTTTTAACCTAAGGTTAATTATCTAAAATCATAAGCCTCACAGTCCACCATTGGACAGTCTTGAAAGTTGCAGTGCATTTTGGGAAGGTAAAGTATGTCGAGAAAGCTCACAATTTATTGTCAGAAATTCTTGTTTGTAGTAAACATTCAGGTATTTCTTGCTTACAATATAAGCCTGCAAAATGTTTCCAATTTACAAAGAATGTCACATTGCATTCACTGATAAAACTACTGCTGTTTTATTAAATGATAAATATTGATAGTTACAATTGATGTCATAACAATTCCCCAAAACCTCAGTGAATGTCTTGAGTATTGTTAAAGGTCCATCTTATCTTAGAATTTAGGTTTAAAAAAAAAAAAAAATGTATTTATTGTCAAAGCATTTAATATATTCATTGCTATCGGGATGTTAAGAGCATTCCATGGAATATAACAAAAAGTGTTTCTGAAATAAATTACATACCCCACCTTTAAATAAAATATAAAAGGCCGTCAATACTAACAGTTAAAACATGTCAAATTTCTATGTTAATGACAAAACGTTGGCATATTATAACATCAAAAGAGAAATGTTTTAGTGGTTGAGCACTTTGGATGTATGACAGGATGTTTATCAAAACTACAATGACACAAAGCTCCTACACATTTGTCCAAATATAGTAGAAAAAAAAACTTTGGTTAAGCTGTCTCAAACCGATACTAATCAAATCAAACAATGGATGGGAAAAGAATAACAGGACTGAAATTCCAAAAATGATTCACAAAACAATGATATAAATGCGAGTTTTACAAAGCCAAGACATCCACACAGCCTTTCTGTGGAGCTCTATCCATAAGCGAACGTAGGTCTGCTGTTGGAGTTTTTGGTTTTGACTCATACATAAGAAGATGCTGCATTTAAAATAATCATGACACATTCAACCCGTGTTTTCGGGATCAAACAAGCATAATTTGGCCTACATTAATTAGCTAGGCCTCAATAAAAAGTCAGGACATATTCATTCAGGGGGGCAACGCATTTCGGTGATCATCTCTTTAATCTATTCTCCACCAAGCACTACAATTCAACTGTACCGATAACCTGGCTACAATTGTGTATATCTCACAATTCTGCAGACATGTTTTGTTACAACCTATCGTACTCGGCAGTGTCAATCTCAATCTCAAACTGGCATTTTGGGACATGACTGCGATGCCAGTTAGCTAGCTTAGCTCTACGGCAGAACCTTTGTTATTGTGTGCAGCGGGTCGACGACGGCCAGCAAGCCATCTAATCAGCTAACAGCCATTTGGTGACACAGTTAACGTTTAATCATCAGCTTGACACTGTCATGCAACGTTCTGCTTATTGTGAAACATTACGATTTACAGAAAGCTAGCGCTGTATAATTGAGCGAACGAGCCATTCACCAACTGGCTAACCAATGAGCTTATCAAGCCGTTAGCCAGGCAGCTAGCTCGCTCACAATAGCACCATTGGAATAGAGCGATGCTGGGTTAGCATAGCGTCAGCTGGTGGAGCTGATTAGCCGCTGCTAGCTAACCAGCCTGTTCAGGTTAGCTGTTAGCAATAACTAAGCTGCAAGAGAAAAAATTAGACGAGACATTTGCGCTCTAGACGGTGATACATGCACCTGAATGCATCTATGTCAAGAGCCACGTATTTCCGTGGATTGTCAGAAATATAATTCATTGGTTTAGTGACCTATATGATTCGGGCTTAGCTGTAGTAGCTGCTAACGTAGGTAGCCACTGCTAATCGGTAGCGCGATGCTGTGCGCACTCACCAGGATGTGTAGCCCTGCTCCGCCATATCGCCGAAAACAGTGGGGTCCGCGACTGTGGCTAACACAGATTCAGGTCCCGGTGACAACCCGATGGGACCTCGGAGAGGTTTTCTGCTTATCCTTCACAATCCAACGTCCTAGCAGTTCCTTTTAGGTGACAACATAATGATACATCCCGGCGACAGCTAGTAGTCACTAGCTGAATATCTTGCAATTGAAATGGGAACGATGGTTTGCTATCGTTAGGTGGACAAGACAAAGCACCCCGAGAAAAAAAACACTGATGTTATTTTCGTCAGTCTCGCTTAATGTCCTGCCGTCACCCCAGCCGAGAAGGCTCGGTTTCCAACGATGCTACACCCACTGTATATCCATATTCAGCACGATGTATCCAGGTTAATTTCGGATATTCCTCAAGTCTGCACCCCTAGCTGTTATGGAAGACGTTCAGCTTTGTTTTCTATGGCGAGGAGTCACGGGAACGCGCAAAATCGCCCTGCCGTAGAGCTTTACAAGTAGGACGTGCACTGAAACGCTTGCAATGGTTTCCCTTCAGCTGGCAGCATTGCAGCCTATCATATGCACCTACAACTGGAGTCGTTACGTCGATTTAAAATGTAATTTATGGTTATACATATCTAATTCATTGCAGAATAATGTGACATAATTGCGAAAGATGATTTTTCATTACTGACAACATACTGAAGAACACACATCCCCGCGGTACTAGACTCATTTGAATAACTATAAAGATGAGAAATGGGTTACAAAACCAACATTTTGTGAACAAATTGCGAGTTAATACAAAGGGTTATACAAATAGCATCTGGGATAAATGTGCTTGAGGTCTTTTACTGTATATTAATTAGCAAAAAAAGGGTAGCCTAAATGGTTTACAGAATAATCGGGTACAGTTTATTTTAATCAAAGGCCCCTGGTCAAAAGACACATACATTAGGATGTTATATAAACACAGTAAGACCATAAGAATACAAATACACATTATTAGGGAATTTGGTGTATTACATTAGCCATTGCAATACAATATATTAAACATATTATGCTCTCCTACATTTCCTTTTCTATGTTTTAATTGACAAATACATGTTGTGGCGCCCCCTTAGGTTGATCAACGTAAATACAAATGAATAGTCAAATGGTGGCTTTCATTCCCCTCTGTTTGCTAAAAATCAACTATGTTTCACTTAGGTTTTTGCAGATGATTAATGGAAAGGCAAACAAGCACTGCAGTGCTGCCATTAGTCAGTGTAGAGCCCTCATTAGTCTAGAAGTTGCAATTTGCAATGATTGCAGAAATTCCTAGAGCAGGACACAGTTTTCTGTTGGACTTTTGTTAGGTCAGACTGTTGTTGAATGTTCATAATCAACTTACTTGGGTGTTTAACAATGACACTATTTGTTATCTATTCCCCTGTGTGGTGTAGTCACGGTGTACTGGACATTTTTGTTCTGATCCCTGTTGTTCAGTGACATTAACAAAACAATGATGGACTCTTTGTTTGGCTGTGAAACCATCCATGTGAACCCATGAGAGTAGGCCTACTTTAAATAATTTTCCTCTTATTGGGAGGCGTGTGGCGCAGTGGATAGAGCCTTGGTGTTTTGGGATCATGGGGTCACAGGTTCAAACCCCACTGCAGTCAGCATGTCGTTGTGTCCCTGGGCAAGACACTTCACCCCAAATTGCTCCTGTGGGGATTGTCCACAGTATTGAGTATGTAAGTCGCTTTGGATAAAAGCGTCTAACAAGTGACATGTAATGTAATGTTATTGAAAGTCAACAAGTAACACAGCTGCAGGCATAGCCTTGCGTAGTTTTTGATGTCCATGTACTCATTACGTTTAAATCACATAAAGGTGCAGGAAAACATTATCTTCCTTCCAACTTCATGATCTGAGTCTTATACTCTGATTCAAGACCAGTGAAATGAAATCATCATTCTTGAAGATAGAAAACTTTTCTATAAAGGGCATAGGTCGAGACAGTGTCTTCCCTGTAGATAAAGATGCCATCGGGGTTTGGAAAGGGGTCAACGGGATTCCCTTTATCCAAAGAGTATGGGGATTACCAATGTCTGCAAAGAGCTGCTTTCTTACAGATTATGTACAATCTGTTCTCAGCAACAGAATCCCATATTCACAAGACAGAGGAAGAGCATTAACCGACAGGCTTATACATTCAGGAGCAAATAAGGTCTCTCCGCAGCATCCTGCAGACATTGTGACTCAAGACTCATGCTAACTGAATTGTATTTAGTACCCGGCCATTACTACCCCAAACACCGGTTTAATGTTCGGGTTTAAATATGTTGTTCAATTGATACAAACTATAGATATAACAGGACCACTAAATTACGTAATCTAGTGCCTAAGATCCTTTGTGATAAAAAATATGTCCGTCCATTCATCCATGTAGATTGTCTTAGAACAACTGGTCTCTATTTAGTGTATATTATTCAAGTCTTTATTTACATTTTAAGGAAGTCACACATTTAATGTACAAAGAGAGGAATTTCAAAAAGACAGGAAGGGAGTATTAGAAGCAGCCAAGCAGGACTATTTACATACAGGCAGCTACACATTGGAAACTACTGATAGTCTGAACATCGGCTGATAGTCTCTAACAAATACTGAAGACTGGAGGTTTGCAGTTTGCTGTTTCTGGCTCCATCTGCACAAAGATAAATGAGGGCTAGTGTGATGGTTGTAAATCAAGTCTTGATTGCTGTCAGGATGTTTAGATTATTAACTTCAAGTGGATGGCTTTCATTTGAAAAACTCAATTTGTCATGGACTGATCTCATATGGATGTAAGGTGCTTAACGGCTACAGGTGCAAGTGTAAATAAGGAATGCTGTAAAAATGTAGATAAGATTACACCAGCAGGCTCACTGTTGTGTGATAAGTACACTCAACAATAGCATGGAGGTGTAGCCCTCAATAAGTAAATATACAAGCTACCCATAACTGTTGTGTCTCGTCAAATGTGTTATGTTTATGTATTATGTCTGTAATTTTCATGTTTTTTCACGTCTGGTCATGTCTGTTTATTTAGGTTCTTCATCTCTAGTCAGTCTCTGTGTTTATTGTCATGTCTCATTTTCCACCAATTTCCACCTGTTCCCACTCACCTCATGTTTAAATAGTCCTGTCTCTCCCCTGTCCTGTGTCAGTTCGTCTTGTTTGTTTCTCCGAATGGTCATTCCAAGCCCCAGCTCAGAAAGGATCGCTTTCACTCATGTCAGGTTTTGTTTCTTTTGTTAATTTTGTAGGCTTAAGTTTTTCTTAAGTTCTCTTTTTGTTATGCCTAGTTTTGTCCTCCTTGTGAGCGCCTTTTGTTATTTCCAGTACCTACTCTGTTAAGAGGGATTACCTGATCTGTGAAATTAAAATTACTTTTTTTTACATTCAAGACTTTGTCTCTGGGTCGTACATTTGGGTTCATCAGTTTGTGTCGAGATCCTGACAATAACTGCCTACTTACTAAAACTAGCTGGATACATTTGGCACAAATAACAGGGTCTTTCACATAACTTGATGGGGATTTAAAATACAAATAAAAAACGTATAATGTATATAAATCTGTATTTCCTCATTTAACTTTGTTGTGCATTGAAAGAAATGCATTGAATTATGAAATGTTCCCTCTTAGCAGTGCAGTACATACGTCTGGCCACTAGCTGTCAGTCTTTACTTTGAGAAAGGCGGATGGCGTACACAGGGGGGCAGACCAGAGTCAAGAATATAAAGAGAGAGTCTACAAACAAATTGATTTTGGATTCTTGCAACAGTTTTTCAGGTATTTTGGATTGCATACATTTTCTCTTCTTGCCCTATTTCGATTTTTATTTGAACCATTGTTTGGTGCTACAATCAGATGTCCATCACTTTGCACATTCTACCTTTTATAGACCAGGATTATGAACACAGATATAATGAAAACTAGTCAGTCTCAGTTAGGAAATAGAGCTCATTTGAGTAATCAAACCAGCCAAGCTGAATACTTTATATCTCTAGCTGATTTAAAGTATCTGATTACAGATCTGAACTGATTTAATAAATGGGCTGAGTGTACTGTGAGATGTGTTAAAAAATCTGCAGAGAATTCAAACCTCCAGGTCATGTGATGTGAGAAATAAGAACCGTTAATGTACTATTGGTTCTACAAGGCCGTATACTCTTTGAATTAGTCTTTAACATGTTTCTAACAATAGGATAACCTTTCAACTAACATCTGCACCATCTGTGTGCTATGTGCATATTTGTTAATATATAATTAATATATCAGGTTATTCTGATATGTGTACTCTTGCAGTACTAACTCATATACCTTATGGCATCCATTCCAAGTCATGGTCTGCTTGATGCATGTAATATAGGTTTCCCCCTCTGAACCCTCACTGTGAAAGCAGCAGGTTTGTTAATGAAATGCAGTGACTATACCAGACATATCTCCAGGGTAGGATGTCTGGATTAAAATGTGGGAATAAGCACACACATTGCTTTGGCCCAATTCAGCTTGTGTCTAGGTTTTTTATTTGTGTATTTTTTTAGATGTTTTTGAAAAACAGACCTTTAGTGCAAGCTACATTTCCAGCATGATGCATTTATGCCACAATATTACCAGGTGTTGTGTGACATGCCTCCCACTCAGGCAGGTATCATCGCTGGCCGTGGATCACAATACCAAAACCCCAGTGACACAGAATCAAGGCTTACTGTCAAGGACACCTCTGATAAAACCAGAAGTGACTTTCACATCGCTGTGCCGTACACTGTTCTCAACCTCAAATGGCGTTACACTGGCTGCTGATCTCTTTTCCCACAGCAAGTTTAGCTCATGCGGAAAAAAGCCTGTCCGAAAGCAGAGGTGCCATCACAGATAAATGGTGATAAATCGGGGTGTTTGCTAAATTAAAAAAAGAGAGGCTACTGACAGAGTCTGGAGCTGGCAGTTGAGACAGGAACTCTGCAGCCTCTCGTTCCCCTTCCTCTCAAGCAGAGTCAGGGGGTGAACGCCTGTTTGAAGCTCTCCCCCCGGGCTCCAGGGTTCTGTGGGATCCGGGTGTGCTGACACTGTTAGCACGCCTGATATGAGAGCCTGATCAAAGCTGGCTCATTCTGCCTGACCGATTTCCACAGGATTAAGGATTAGGGAGACAGGAAGCTGGGAGAGGCACAGAGACAATCTCTGAGAGACAAAAAAGGGATCGTGAGGGTTAGGGAGAGTGAAAGGGATGGACAAATGCAAGAGGAGACAGAGGGGGTCATATGGCACTGGCAGAGAACATCTTAAGAAAAAGAAATCAGAGAATAAGTGTGAAGGGATTTAACAAACACATAAATCACTTCATTAATAAGTAAAACAAAAAGTACATTCAGAGAGCATTATAAAAGAGGCTTTTCTGTAAAACCCACATTTGGAGTGATTTTTAAAAGACAATGCAGCTTTAGTTTTTCACCTTCTGTTAACAAACAAGTTTTCCCAGAGGATCAGGCTGTGCTGCAGCTCAGGAAGTGTTA